CCACACCAATTTAGTATGTCCAAATATCATTACACAGCGAATTTTGTCAACAATTTTTGAAAATTGCAATTTTTTTAAGACGTTATCCGGGGAAAGGCGGAAAAAGTGGACTGACCCAAACCATTCAACGGTGTTCGTTCGCGGTTCGAAGCACGAAGCTATTAGCATTGTGCCTAATTCCATCAACATATCCCAAAAATTGCGACCTGTAGCCCGAACACAAATTTACACAGCTAAGCTAAGACGGACAGACAGACAGGAGGAGAGGTAGGCTTAGATAGATTCAGAAAACGATAGGTATGGTAAAAGATAGCTATCTTAAGCCCGTCTGCGTATTACATACATCCGCAAAAACTTAATATACCGCATGTGCTGTAGTTACTCATAATTCGATATCGGACTTTTCGAAAAATACAATTTTCAAAACAACTTATCAAACAACTCTTACAATTCTTATTCATTTCATTTCATTTGTACTTTTAACAAATACTAAGGTGTTTCTGATAAGTTATTATTATTATTATTATTATTATTATTATAAATTTAGCCAGAGAATAAATTCTAGGACTAACGTCTTAAAGCACCTAAGCATCTAAGGCTTTCGGTTTTATTAGAAACTCTACCGCATTTGCGATTTGAACCCACGACCATTGAGTTGTTAGTCGAGACTCTTGCCTACTCGGCCACTCAGGCGGATCTCTGATAAGTTAACTTAAATGTTATTAGTAGGAAGAAAAAGTTAGCTTCTTTGGTCGAAAATTTCACTTTTTCATTCAATTACTTCTCAATCACACAAAAATCAATATTTTTAAAACCTCTACGAACTTTTCTAAATACAGATTAAATAATCTTTTTGTTTTTTTTTAATTCAAATTTGCATTAAATCGTAAATAGGACATTAAATATAGGTGCCTGGCGGAAATGACAACTTGACTGACTTTGAATATTTTTCAAAATTGATTTTTTCATACCTACCGCTGTAAGAAGAGGGTACACACATTTTGATGTTTCTCATAATGCAAGACCCGAAAGTAAGCTTCAAAGACGCCATAAAGTACATATAGTATGGTTTAGCGTGGAATCCTGAATTAATTAAGGCATGTCTGTCCATCTGTCCGTCTGTGTAATGCTTGTTTTTGGCACACTTCTGGTCGCAAAAATGAAGATGTCGACTTGAAGTTTGGTAGGATCACTGGAAGCATTTGCATGCAGGTTGTTATTGAAGATTAACCAAGTTGGTCATAGCGGGAGCCCGCAGTGGAGCGTAACCTGTACGCAATTCAGTTTTGATTAACAAAAATTTGTCGGCTCTTTACTAAGAAATTATAAAAGTTAGAAGGCAAATAATTTCCACATTTTTTTAAGAAACACTCTACTCTTTATATGCGAAAGTAGAAAAAGTTGACCATGCCCACACACAGTTACAACCGATTACATTTTACTTTTTGTCACTTTTTCTTTTCCTTATTTATCATAAGGCAATAAAGAGAGAGAATGTTTAAAACTACTCTGTACGCTCCTCAAATGAAGATATATTATCGGCCTACAAATGGGTTAATTCTAAAATGAATTTGATTGACATCACGACCTGATGGATTAAGTTTTTCTTAATAATACTAGCGATATGAGTATCAAGTAAAAGAACTTGGAAAGCAGATTGCGAAAAGCATAGTGGAGGGTATGCGAGGATCGGCTTCCACCGAATATAACTTTCTTACTAGTTTCTTTTAAGCTTAAATATGTATCACATCTTAATCACATCTTCTCGTATCTTATTGCTCTACTAGCTTTCCGTCTATCCCAAAAAAATGAAACGAAAGAACGCTTTCTTAAGCAGACTGATTGGAATGATTATGTAACATTAGAGCTGCCGACGTTTTGCGTATATGTATTTTTACCGAAAGGTATCATTAAAATGAAGATAGGAAAACGAAATTTAACACAAATACTCCATGATCGGTTAAGAATCCAACGTTTTGTTAAATGATTACCATCTGCCTATGCAAACGCCTACACAAACCTTAAAAACAACTTTCGTTTCTGTGAAGGTATTCCGGAAAACCTAAATTTTCGTCAAGTCCACCTGCATATTTAACCCAACAATAATCCGGTCGGCTCACTAACACGCCCACAACTAACTTCAAAATTTCGATTCCAATTTATTTCCTATTTATTAGCAATTGCCAAGCAATTGCCAATAAATTGGAAATAAATTGAAAATCAGCCTATCAGGACTACCTTCGGACTAAACATGAAGGTGATCCTGACGAACGTTTGGGTTATAGGTTTGCAGACAAATCTTCACGCGAACGAAAGTTATAGAGAAGGATATGAAAAGGGTGTCGAAGTTGTTTCAATGGCTTTCTTCCATACTGAGGATCTGCACGTACTCATACCATGTCCAAATTTAAACTTGACACCTTTAAAAGACCAAGGACTATGTTTGCCAAATTTCAGATTTCTATCTGTATAACATCTTTAGAAGTAGAAATAGACATAACTCATCGACATCTCGAAAGCTAGAAAACATGCGAACAAAGGGATTATGCGTATTTAAAGATCTTTTGATATAAATAAAAGTCAACAAAAAGTTTTCGAACATTACAACACGCTTTCTAAACATCGCTTTGAAGAACGAACATTGAAAAGGATCAAAATGAAATGCTTGGTAGTTCTAGTGTTAATGTAGTGCTGGTATCATATATCACTGAAAGGATGTTAATAAATGATGAATATGGTGCCCTCAAGGGATATATATAAGAGTTTTATTAGGAAGCATTAGTATCTTTAGAGCTTTATTTATTTCCGTAACACATTTACTGAAAAGGCTATAGGCTTTTCATGCTCACATATAAAGTTACTCTCATGTCTGCATTCCCAATCATTCATTTTGTATCCATGGTCATACAGACACACATGCACACAATTCTCCCCACGGTTGTAGTTATCCGGTTGTTCTCTTGACCAAAGACTATAATTCATAGATGTGCCAGTGTTTGCCCAAACAAAATTACCTTCGGAGGCGAGATCATTACCCGACACCCACCACGAATGAACATTGGGTAGATTAGTATTTAGATACTCAGTAATAGCATTCATCTCACGTTCGTTTTCAATCGAAGTTAAATATCCATTCATAGTGTGACATATGTCATTCGCCTTGAACCAATTCACCTAAAAAGAAAGCTTCCGCTTTGAAAAAGTAAAATTATAAGAGGAGAGAAAATGATTCGCGAAATATTTACCTCTACTTGACCAAAGTATAATAACTTTTCACCAACAAGTTTATAAGGTTCGTAATCAAAATCGGAGATTATGTCTATTATCGTTAAGTAAATAATTAATTTAAGTTTATAATTAATTAATAAAAAATAGTTTTACCATCCATCGTTTTCACTAGGATTTCAGGTTTTGAACCGCATATTAATGAAACGGAAGTTGTTAGTAAATAGATGTGCAGAACAGACTTGAGCATGTTGACGACCATTTGTTCTCGAATAAATGAACACTGAAATTTTGCGAATAATATTCAGCACATATATATATGAAGAAAATCGATTCTTATCAACGCCATGCTTTTTATCTTCGCACCTAACTATATGGAAAATATAGTTAGGCATTTGTGATTTTGAACATGATAAAGTGATATAATACATATATCGCTATCGATAACAAATGATAAAATAACTAAATAAACACTTAAAATTTGGATGATTTAAAAAAAAAAAAAAAAGGCGAAAGTAAAAATTTGTAAGTAATTCAATATTAAGTTTTCGGAACGCGATTTTTCATTTTAAACGGCTTATCTAACAACTTGTATGATTTTCACTTTTTTCGTTTGTGTTGTACTTTTTATGCAAGAAGTTTCGAGAGGTTAACATACCTCTGTACTTGTCTAACTACAGCCAGGCGGATTAAAATTTCCACCAGAACCTTAACAGGCAGCACATAACATAATGCTAACCATACATTGGTTGTATTCATCTGTTAATATATTTTACAGTTATTTTTATTTTCATACCTCAGTATGTGTTTAATAAATTTCCCGAATATTATTGCTATTGTGTTACCGTTCTTTCCCAAAAATAGGCAAATAAGCACAGGGCTGATCATTAGATGCCCGACACTATTTCACTTAGGGGAGCTATTCATTCGTTTTGGTAATAACATACGCCAAAAATGATACATTGCATACTTTTGGTGAAAGCCCGCGTACAGGATGGTGTCATCCTTAGTTAGCAAACTTACATTACTTTTTAAAAGTTTTATTGTTGTTCCTTACCGATAATTTTTTTGCTTCACCATAAAATATTAAAAATTAAATCTTTTTCTGAAGGGTTTACTATTCGTGAGAAATCTTATGTGAGGTCCAAGAACTAGATTTAAATTTTCGTCGTAAAACATTAACAATTAAGTCTTTTTGGCATAGAATAGCTTACATGTCCAGGGATTCCTGGTGTGCACTGGTATCCAAAAAATGGAATCGATTTTCATCAAGAAGTATTGAAAAGTTTCCGTACGAACGGTTAAATGCAAATGGTCCAAATTATTGCCTCAGCCGAACCAAATGTTTCATATCAGTCTAGAATGTCGAAGTGCTATTACTCAGCGAGTTTTGTCGAAAAATGTGGAAAATTGCAATTGCTTTGTGGTTATTTTTGAAAAGTTGTTATTGTTGAGAAAGCGGACATTCTGAACCATTTTCAACATCGTTGGGTCAAAGCACGTCAATGCATCAAATTTCATCACAATAACACAAACATTGCAAACAATAGATTGAAGGCAACAATACCGGACAAGCATCAGGTAGACAGACGTACAGACAAGCAGAATCATTTTCTGAATTGATTGGTAGAAAAAAATAGGAAGTCTTTCTGGGTGTTATGTATGTCCGCACAAAGTTAATACAGCCTCTAGTACAAGCGTGATGTAGGTATAAAAAGGCTTTTTAGGTTGTTGGAACGTAGAGCAGGTCTTTAAGAAAACGTACGATTAGTACAGTACTATAACTGCTAACTTCTGGGTTTGGAAAAGGAACAGCAGGTATACAGCCATTTTTGTGTACACATTTGCTCCAGCTTTCCTTTAAGCATTAGTCAAAGGGCTTTCATATTAAGAAAAAGGAACAGGCTAGTGCTGCTTGGTGCGTATGCATTGAAGGGGTCGCATTTGGGATTCTCATACATTACGCTATAAAACACTCGCTTTGCAAGCAACACCTACAACAATGAAAGCACAAATATTGCAGTAATTCGGTAATTAATCATACATAGGCACATATGTGTGCAGGTTGCCTTAATAAGGTGTTGTAACATGAAAAGCTTATGAAAGCACTCATGTTTAATTAATCCATTACGAGTTGTGTGCTGTACATCTTTTATGCAGACATCAATCAATAAGGCTGAAGGTATTCCGTTATATAATCATACCGGCTTGCAGTAATTTACTTTATAAAGTATTTACCGCAACACTTATCTGCAAATCTTGCACAACATTAATCATAAGCAATTGTTCTGATGTTTGAAAGTTCCTTCATTAACTCGTAACTCTTCAGATAGTAAACGAAGGGAGAAGACATAAATATTATAATTTGCAAATAAGTTCAATGTAAACGCGAAATACGTTCTATGACTTACGAATCCATTAAGGTTACATTTTAACGCACGACACCGCGGGTTGAGTCATATCAATTTTGTCAAAACGTTTGCAACATCAACATCGAAGACCATGCAAAATGTACATATTCTTGCTCAGCATTAAATTCGAAATTAAAGCAAGTCAAAGTGCTTGTCAGCCCTTCTGTCTGGTCGTTCATCCGTCCATATGTGATTACCATTCTTCCCATCAGCGTCAAATTTGGCAGACATATTGGAAAATTGTTATTGAATATGGTAGCATTCGGTAGAAGGACAAGCCTATAGTGCCTTCTAGGCATCCGTTGCTCTGTTTTCGGTCATAAGACCCTTACGCTACAATAGACATTTCCATGGATATTTTGAAAAAGTAGGAGAGATCAGCCGTGCCCACTTCAGGTGGTAGTGTAGAGTATGGAAATTTATTTTTCTTTTGGTTACTTTTAGTGCTTTTTAGGACAAAGATGGTGGACATAAAAGATTTAATCACAGCTGAATATAAATTTCTTATTTGCCTTTCGTTATTACAAACCAGTTTTGTTACGCAAGCAATATTCGGATTTAGTGTATATATCCTATGATTTTTAACGGTATGTATATCTGAGATTCCGTGCACGCAATAGTCATTTTCCACTTTTAACTACATGTACGCCCATATATCGGTCAACGTCTACAACCTAAAGGTCACAGTTTTCAAAATGCGGAAACTGAATCGGATGAGAACGTTTTTTTGAACACTTAACATATAATGCTTTGAAAGGGTTGGTCTGCCACTATCTCTACGAAATACGAAAATTGAACCCACGACCATTGGATTGTTAGTTAGTGCGATCGTTTGCCTACTCGGCTACTCATAGTAATGCGGAAGGGTTTTCAATACAAGCGGATCTATGATCTGAGTAATTCGGCAGCCTTCAAATTCATGCTTTGATAATAAATAAATAAATAAGTTTTTGCCTCAAAGTTGAGATTAAAGTTTCTTGTAGGCTTCAAGTTACAGTTTGTTGTTGCATTTTGACCAGCGTTGTAGGTCAACGACGTTCGTTTTAAACTTGTGAGTGTGTGTGCGGCCATCAGCATATCTGCCTCATCTTTTCCGGTCGTGAGAGTGTTAAAAAAACGGAATCAGACACGGACACAGAAGATCAATTTTTTATCCTCCCAATCAATGATCGATGAAACGCATAGTTTATGACGTCACTTGTGCGTATCTATCGATGCTATAAAATCCACATTTCAGTGACAAGTATCCAAATTTTACTATTTGCGGATATATCGATGCGATCAATTGTATCAAACATTTAAATAGAAAGAGGACTGAAATGCTTTCAAGCATTGCGGCAAAATGTTTTAAATTTTCATTTCATTGTTCAATTTAAGACATAAGATGAGCCCACTTCACGTGTGAAAAAGTTGTTAATTAATTGTTTCAAAAACCGACAAAGCGTAAGGTAATGCAATCAATTATTAATTTCTTCCAACGAATGAAAGAAAATCTTTAAACAAGAATGCTAATAATTGTTTGATAAGACAAGCCGACCATTAGAAATAATAACAACAGGTTTGCAAAAAGGAAAATCAAAAAAAAAAAAAAAAAAAAGAAGAAAGAAAACAAACCCATAGACGCCTGTTTATTTTCTTCTACTTTAAAGGAAAATATCTGTTTCTTTCATATTTAACAAAAAGGCGTAAAATATTTTCCACTTTACCTGCGTGTGAAATGGATAGTGTTTGCAACGAAAATATTGCGTTTTGTTGTCGTTTAGCAAAGTCATCACAAAACCACACAATGACTCCTTATATATGTAGACATCGTTCCCTTCTCAGCGTTGCTTGGCTTCTTTTTTCTTTTCATCATTCTACCCTTCATTCTGCCCTCCGTTCAATTCGTTCACTTTTCTCTTCTCATTCAATGCTTACAAGTGATTTTTATTATGTTTTTTTTTTTTTTCGTTTTTTGCTTCCTTTCCTTTTCTCTTTCAGGATTTTATCTGTCTGTGATGTTCGCATTAATAAGATTTATATCCTTTCAAATTTATTAATGTTTGTGTATGTATGTATGTATATATATATCTATGTATATGTGTATATCTGTGTGTGTGTGTGGTATCTCTTCTTACGCTTTCATATTGAACATTCTTGCATTTTTTGTTTTTGTACAATGGTCATCTATTTGTACATACATCTGTACATATATATATATTTGTATTCGATTTCTTTATTCGACGCCTTCTATCGCTCTTATTACTTAAATGCCCCCTTAAAAAAAAAGTGTCAACTTTACAATAACCTTCAATGTCGATACAAATTTACCGCTTTTGAGCGGCATCTTTTAATAACAGCAGGGCGTCCTGTACGGCGATCTTTTAATGTTTTGGTATCTGAGGTTTTTCTCATTTAACTGCCGCTACCTCATGCTGATAACTGTGATTATTGGTAATCACTGCGAACGCGAGCTCACCTCCTCTCTTTGATCAATTTTGCTTTAATCTTTTACTTTTAGTGATTAGTTAGTTATTTTATTATTAGAGAATAGTAAGTAAAAATTTATTTTAGAATATATTTGATTACGTTAACATACATTAGTAGTTTAGTTAGTTTCGTTGTTTTTTTTCTTCTCTCTTTTCCTTTCGACTTACATCGCATAACAAGAAGAAGAACAAGTAGAAATTTATGATTTTTAAATTTATTCATAAAAATTCTTATGAGAATCTAGAAGAATGATAGAAAAGGAATTGGTTTTATAGCTGACTTATTTACATTATATAGAAGAAAGTCATAGTAAACATTTATATGTTCGAGTTATGATTTCGCTCAGCCTAAACAAACACCTGAAAAAACTTTCTATCATCGACGATAATAGTCCTTTTTCTTCAAATACCGAAAGGACTGGCATTAGATTGTAAAAACGATGCTGCCTCGTCTGATTTGTAAGCACATTCCGGAAAAGCAATTCTCTCTCAATTCTCTGTCTAAAAGAGTGATTTGCGATGAGCACAGAATCTAGGATTAATGAAAGCGAATGCATTCGTTGGACCAACTGTGACAGTAGGCGTTCTCCATGCACGATCAACCAACAAATTTACTTGAGGAACAATTTCAACGCAGACGTCATGTCTAACCGAAAAATCTGATCGCGCGTACTTTGGGAACAGCAAGGAAAGTCTAATTCAAAGTAATGAAATCTTCATCGGGATAGTGGTTGATGTATATGAACACTTTTGATAGCACAAGAAAAGTGAAAAATTGTAACAAGTTACGATTAGTTCGCTTTCTACCGATGTTAAGGTCAGCAAGGCTTCATTTGACGAATACACTTATAAGATGAAACCTTTTCATATTGTAACGTAAAGTTGCCCCTTGTGATTGAACGTTCTTATCCAACTTCCTTCGAGATTAAGTTTGCATCACTGAATTGCGGTTTCTAAGATAGCACAGGTTTTATTTACAAAGAACTCATGTATGAAAGATTTTTTTTTTCCTCTTTTTTAATACGACAAATTACTCAGAGGATGCCCCCTACTCATCTAACACAATGACTGTCGAAAAAAAGAAACGAAAGAGAAAGGAATAGTATTAGTGATTCCCAAAAGTGTATATGCCTTTACCGTATAAGCACTCACTGCAGCTACGACCAAAGGAAAGGGTACCTCACTTCAGATTTGAACTCGCGAACACTAACTCGTGATAGTCGCTGTTCTTGCCTACTCGGCCGCTCGGACTCGAACTCAAACTCTTTTTGGTCTTGTCCGCGCGAATATTGCAATTCAACTCTCTTCACTCAATTGACCTCAGTGCCTAACCCCATTTATGTTAATCGCGCGATATGTTCTACGAGTTGTTGTTAATCTTCTCGACAAATGCCAGCTGCTTAAGACAGATAAAACGCTGTGAATGTATATTAGGTTTTATCACTTTTCGGAATTTGGTTTCTTAGAAAACCGACGAGTTCTCATTCAAACTCGAATCATCAAATGTGAGATTTTCATAACAATATAATTGACTATGCATTTATCATTTCATCTCTCAATACATCAATCTATCAATTATCAATTGAAAATTATTTTATTAGAATATTAAAATATCAGTCACCTTTGAAATAACCATTCATGCTAAGTTCATCATATCTTGAATGCGTCTCCTCGACCCAATTATCTAATTAGACGATTAGGTGAACAACAACCATAACAAATCCTCTTTGAGAAATAAGAGAAGAAGAGAAAGCCGCCAAGATCGTGTGTATGTAAATTAATTGATGTAAAACATAAACGAATTCATGTCATGAGTGAGTTCGTGACGAAATATCTTCTAATGAAAATGTTCCCAAATGTTCCTTTATTCCCATTGAAATCGTAAGACTAGAAGAGGAAACAGTAGTTACGTAATTTTTGAGTTTTTACATATGTTCGTTCGAAGGGCAAGCGTTAACAGATGCGATATCATATTACCACAAATGTCATGCTATTAAGTACGGTATTCACACAAGTACTTTAGACCACACAAACGCTTTGACAGCATGGAGGATGGGTCAGATGTGTGGAATGTGAATTTTTTACTCACATTAAACGACTTGATTTCTATTTCTTATATCTTACGGCATTGGCGAAAAATATTTCATGCAAGTTTTATTTCCATTAAGTTTCTGTGTCCTCGAATTTTAACAAGGATGTAAAAGACGCTTCGCTTAGGGCAAATACAATTTTCTTACTTGTGTTTCTTGATTAATTCGCTGTGCAACAACAAAAATGCTGACGCTGAGTTAAATCTTCAAATATGAATTCAAAGTAAAAGTAACTGCTAACCCACCTCACTGATAAGGACGAATGTTGCAAAGCAAATGAATAAAATTTTAACACAATTTCTTTCCTCACACCTTTTCCCCATTATTTGTATACATACACATATAATAGAAGCCTTTAGTTATCACGTTTTGTTATCACGAATGAAAATGCTACAGCATCTACTAGAGCCCTTTATATTGTAACCACGTTGACAAATATTCACTAATATCCTTGCTTCCTTAAGTCTTTCTAATGCTACATTAAATTTGTTAACAAAACTCTTATGGTCGCTAATCCTTCCGGCATCGTTTTTCTGGCAGAGATAAATGTCAACAAAACACTTTTTCACTTTTTTTTTACGAAAATAAGAATTAATTATCGCTACAACAAAAAGGATGGAAAGGTAGAAAGGAAATTTCAATTATTTTAAATGATGATAAAATAAATTAAGATTTGTATTACGATAGCGACGGAGTTTAAGGAGTAGTTAATTGAATTTTTGCTTCTCTTTAACAGCCCGTGATTCGGATATGAGTGATACGGAATCAGAACCGGGCCTACCGCTGAAACGTAAGCAACGTAGATCTCGTACCACTTTTACTGCCGATCAATTGGAGGCTTTAGAACGTGCATTTGCCCGCACCCAATATCCTGATGTCTTTACGCGAGAGGAATTGGCGCAAAGTACACAACTGACCGAGGCCCGCATACAGGTGTGGTTTAGCAATCGTCGAGCTCGTCTGCGTAAACATTCTGGAGGTGGAGGCATGAGTGCAACCGTTAATGTTTCGGGTATAAGCTCGGCCACAACTTCGGCTGGGGGTCCAGCGGGAACTGGTGCCTTGGGATTTGGCTCTTTGACGATGGGTCCGATGGGTTACAGTCCGGCAGCGGGTACCACTGCTTCTAGTACAGTTATAAACGATCAGCACAGCGTGCACGCAGCAGCCGCTGCAGCTGCGGCGGCTGTCCATCATCCTGCCCATCATCATCACCATCATCACCATCATCCGCATCACTCACAAATGGGCAGCTATGATTTAATGGCGGCTCAATCAGCTCATCCAAGTTTTCCTAGTAGTTTTCACAATTCACATTTCAGTAGTCAAAATTACTATCATCAAGGTAAGATTTCGCTCCTTTCTTCTTGACGATTGCATCGCAAAAATTTATTTTCAGACTATTCGAAACTTTCAATTGACGATTTCTCAAAATTGACTGCCGAAAGTGTTTCAAAAATCTCACCTTCCTTACATCTCAGTGATAATTATGCCAAATTGGATGCAACAACAAATTGGTCTCAAGCTGCTGCTTATCAAACGGCGGCAGCAGCAGCTAATTATAATGCAGCAGCAGTTGCTCATCACGCTCATCACAGTACCAGCGCTTCCACTCAACATCCTTTAAATGAGTACGCCAGCGGGACAGCAGTGACACATAATAATCAATTAAGTACGACGTCTGTAGCAGCAGCAGCTGCCTATCAACACCCGCTGTCTGCTCAAGCTGATACCAAGTACTGGTCTTGAGGATACCCTTAAAAAAGTTTGCAGAATTTTTTTTCCAACTGTTCAATGTCTCATAATACTATCGCATGTGGAAATATAAAGATTACAAATCTGCTCTCAAAGTGCTGAAGAAACGTAAGTGATCGCAGTATATATGATATGAAAGTGCGGATTACTCCCAAACACGTTACATTCATAAAAGAATTTTTTAAGCCAAATCCTGTTCAAATAATTTCAAAAAATTTCTTCTGTAACAAATGAGATCCGCTGCAGCAGAACGCGGCTCACCATTAAGAATCCTACATCACTTCTTTTGATAAAGTTATTTTTATTCCGATTTTGGCAATGCTCGAGAAAGTGTTCGGATCCGAATCGAATTTTACTAGCATTCGTCTTTGGACCAAAACATGTCGGTATGACAATTTTCGTCATAACATTTCAAAAACTACGATCGGTAGGCTGAATACGAGAAAGCAAGACGGACAGGCGGACGGCCAGACAAGCTCGGAATCATTTTGCGAATCGATCGATATAATAAAGAATAGGTTTTTGTCAAGCCCTTCTGGGTGTTGCGTACATCCGCACAAGCTTAATATACCGTTTTATCACAACTGATGTAGTGGCAGCCGTCTACTAAACATATATGGACACAAGTTCGCCTTATTTTCTTAATTTTTATAACATTGGTAAACAATGCTAGGTCGTACGGACAATCTCTATTGAATTTGTTTTCAGAATATACATAACTTATAACGTCTCTGGCATATATTTGTGGATTGTAACATTCTATACACCATGCACACACATCTGTTTTCCGGTGGTGGGGCACAAAATGTTTAAAAAACCTAAATAAACTGAAATAGTACTTACGAAGATGCACTTGTTTGGGAAAAAGTTGCAAATATAGAAAATTTTTATGTCGCCAATATTATGTTTTGTACGCAGATCTATTGTAATATATAAGACATAAGTTGAATTCATTAAATTAAAAAACAAAAGTAAAATGTAAATAATGTAGAAAGAAAAATAGCCTTTTAAGAAAATCCGAGAATAAATTATAAATTTTAAATGCTAAAAATCCGTTTGGAAACTGTATATGCATAGAAATTGAAGGACCTAGGTAAGTAAATACGTACATAAGTTTTACCAATATTTACTTCATACAAAAAGCAATCACTAATCTTTCCCTTACTTATGCCAACATAAGAAAATGATTTCTTGTGTTTCGATTCACTTCTTTTATTCGACTGCTTTAGTCTTAGCTTGCGTCACTACAAGTCCGTAATATATCAATATTTCCTTTGGGATCGAATAGTCCATCACCAAGGGTGCAGGATAAATACTTTACAAATGTCACTGCAACACCCAATAACTTTGAAAATATTTGATTCTTTATATATATAGGAATACCATTATTTACGTGTTGATGCCGCACGAAAAATTTTGTACAATATCAAACTTTCACCAGTGCGTCTGCAATCGTTGTTTATTTCTTAATTTTTCGTAATTCTAACACACAACACACGTACGACTTAGCTTGAATAACAGTCATGGCAACTCTTCAGCGTCGTGCTTGTCGTTATATGTTTCTAGACTTTAACATTTATTATCCAATAATCACACAAATAGTAAGTAAATTTGCGTTAAATTTTCTTAACATTTCCAAGATTAACGATATACTATAAACTTTTGTAAACACTTGGGTAAAATTCTAGAAAAAACCAAAAATTCAAACATATTTAAAATGAATATTAACTTCGGCCGAGTCAAAAGTAAAAAATCGTTACTTCACTTCAAGCAGATGATAATAATAATAATAATCATGTGGATAGTTAGAGAGAAAAGAGAGAGTAAGGAAAGTATTGCCATATCCGAGTGCAAAAACAATCATATAAATTTCAAAAGTATACTGTACGACCAGAAAAGTATATTGTACGACCAGAAAAGTATATTGTACGACCAGAAAAGTATACTGTACGACCAGAAAAGTATATTGTACGACCAGAAAAGTATACTATACGGTTGTTGTTGCAGCTTTTGTTGTACTACTAAGGGTGTACAGATAAGCACAGCTTATATTTTAGTACATATATCGAAATCAAATGTGATCAAAGATTCGGATTAAAGATCAATGCATGTTAATTACAAACGATCTTTTCGATAATAGAATAATATTTAATAATTTACATCAAATCAAACGATACAAACTAATTGAAATAAAATTAAATCTAAGAAGTGTTTTAAGAAAATTTTAGAGTAGCGAAAAATGTTAAAGCTAAAGTGAGGGGAAATAATTATGAAAAACATGGCTCCACTACTATACAAAATAATAATAAATAGTTTCCTCTATTTGTAGAAGGGAGAATTGAAACATCGATGCTTTTTTATTTATTTGAATTTAATTATATATAAGTTTTTTTGTTGTTATCTTTTATACACAGTAAAGAGTTTTTCGTATATTTTAATGCTAATAATATGTTATTATCGACTTGGCTTGATAGTAGTCAAGAAAAAATGAAACAAAAATTTATAGATGTATATATACATACGTATATATATATATATATACATATATATACATGTATATATATACATATCATATAGCTATCGTATTGACATAACATCAGACTTACAAATTACCACAAAAATTTTTATAATTCATATTATATACATATAGATATATATATTTGTATATATAGATATATATATATGTATATATAGATATATATATATGTATATATAGAAGAGACAAATACATATCCGTATGCACATTTATAAAGTAATCACAAAAGATAAATTATAGAAATTATTATACTAATAATAGTAATATTCAAGATATACATTATATTTAAAATTTATAAATTTTCTTAACAAGTTTTCAATTAATCTTCATTTTTCATTTAAATAATTCATTTTGTAAATTTATCAATTTTTTTCTATTTATTGTCTTTTAGTTACCTTTGTTTGCATATTATTTAAAAAAAAAAAAAAAAAAATTATTGTCTTGTTGCAAGCAGTTTGTTCTCTTTTACAATTTTGTTAAATTTTTTATTATTTTTTTTCTCAATTTTTCCATACGACATAACTTATTTCCGTACGGCTTTGAAGGGAAATTATATAAAAATGTTCTACCAAAAACATATGCTTATAATTTTAATTTAAATATAATTTATTTATTCATTAATTTTTGTTTTCTTTGTTTTTTTTTTTTTTTTTTTTTTTTAATACCCATAAATTATTGTCTTCGGTTTGCACAAAATATATTCAGCTCACTTTATAAATCATTAAGTGTATATAAAAAACTGTTCTTCTTCTTCATCTTCTTTTGTTTTTTGCAACACTGGACTGCAAAACCATAATGTAAACTTTATTTTAATAGGTTTCTGTGTTTAATTGAACCTTAATGCGCGGCCAGTGTTTTTTTTTTGTTTTTTTTTTTTTGTTAATGATATTTTATATTCTTAGATATGTGTATGTATATGTTTTTGTTTGTTTAACGTTCATAGATATGATAGTTGTATGATATAAGTATAAGTTTTTTGTAATAATTTTTTTTGTTATGGGTTTTCTTTCTTTTTCTTAATATTGATAATTGTTTTTGATAGGATCGTTATTATTTTCATATAAACTACGTCTGTTTAATGCTGTTATACGTGGCGGTGTACCCCATGAATGCACGGGTGCAGCTACAGCAGCAGGATGTCTTAAATTACTGGCGGATGGCAAGTGATTGGTGTTAATGCTTCGTGCATGATCTTCCTGTTGCACATACATAGGCCAACGGCCACGTACCCCACCATACGCACCCAAATTAACAACTGGACGATAGGGGACAAAACAACGTTTACAAACGGCTGCGATGGGTTGACGTAGTCGCTCGTGTTGGGGGTAATACTCGACCTAAATTCATCGATCAATTTTGCAGGAAAAGATCAAAGCAAGAGAAAAAAGATAACGAACAAACAAAAATACCAAAATTTCACATAAAACATAATATTAGTGAATTTTTTTTTTTTTTTTTTTTTGTTTTTAACTCCTTTTGTTAACTATTTTTACATAATTTTTCTAAATTTTGATTATCTCTCTAAACATACAGGTATGGTATGCATACATACATACATTTACAGTACACAATTTACACACGAAACTGTTATACATGCATTCTCTGACTTGACACAAAAGCAGTTTTACAACAGCACGCACATACATGTAAATATTTATATGTGTTTTTAGGACTTGACACTGAAAGCATATTTTTTACAGAAATTGATATAAAAATAATTACGAGTTATATGATATGAAATATAATTGGCCTCGTGTAAACTCTCAACTTTAAAGTCAAATCCGTATCGCAACATTGCAAAGAGAGGAATGTGTTGATTCCGTTATAAGCTCGCTTCATTAAGATAACAGATCGCAAATTCATCTGAATAATCGATATTATTGGCGTTACTCGGCAAGGACAATATCCGGGGAACGTGAAAACATTAGAAATTTTGAGGGAGATTTCACTAATCGCGGAAGATGAGAGCAGCATTATGAAACATGGCCTTGCTAAAATTACTAAGAATTAAAAATCCTTCATTATGTTTTGGATTCTTGTCGCGCATCGATTTTTCATCATCCACCACAATTTAGTAGCATTTTCTTTCGAATTAAACCAGAAAAGTAACGCATCAACCAAATGGCATTGTTTGACGCTTAAATCGCTAAACAAAGCAACACTGAAAACACTACAGTGGGACACACCCACCATCAGACACCCCACACCACCTTGCAGTTATCCAAATACTAATTTTTCAAAATAAGACATTATATGGGAAGTGATCGAAAAAGTGGTCCGATCCGAACCATTTTCGGTAATGTTCCTTTTTAGGCCAAAGTAGGTCAGTGTGCCAAATTGCGTCAAAACATTTCAAAAATTACATCTTATAGCCTTAACACAAGACTAATACAAGACGGACAGGCGCTTAGAATGTTCTAAGGAAAAAGTTTGATCCATCCAAAATCCTTTAGGACATTGTGGACATCCGCATAAACTTAATATATATTCTTGTACCATAAGTGGTGTAGGCTATAAAAGTTATGTTGTATGCACTTCAACGGGAATTGTAGCATATAACTCTAAGATAGTATACTAACATGGGCAAGCCAGGAATTAGTATCGCCATCGATTGCAATTCTGCTGAAGTTATTGCACGCTTCCAATTTTTTTTATTGTTTTTGCAAACAATGCTAATAGAATTGTTATCAAGTTCATCTTCCATATCACTGTAGTTTATGGATGCAAATAATTTGGAATTGGATACCTTTTCCAAATTGGAGCAGGTTCTTAATTTTTACATCTTATTTTTTTTTATCTCAATGTTTCCTATTTTGAAAACAAGACCTTTTGGCAGACGGACATGCCTGACGCTGAATAAGAATTCACTCCTCGCAGCGAGTACATCGAACTGGAGCTGGGAAAGCTCTGCCGTCCTTGCTTCTGAATATGGTCCGAAATGGTATTGTTGAGTTGAATCAAGCCTTTCCGAAAATTTCGGATGTTGTTAGAGGGGTATTTTGCTTTAACATGACCTCGGCAATCTGGCGTAAATGAACTTTGTCTAATACTAACACGAATCGTCTTCGTATAATTCTTTTGCTAAGTAAGTACGTATACATTCAGTGATAAAAATGAAAGAGTTTGCTGAAACTTTTTTTTTGATTACATTTTTATAAAATTTTATATAAAATTTTTTCTAACATTTCTTTACGATAATCGTCGCACTCTACCTTCCTTTTAAAACTTATAATATGATATGGTTTTGCCTTTCATTATGAAAGGTTTTGGTCTCTGCTTGAAATTGTGGATTTCTATTTAAAATCAGCCTTAAGATAGGCCATGGAATGCATACAAACAAATTGCTTATGAATGTACGGTAAAAAATTTATAAAAAAGTTTCAAATGACGAGCAAGTTTTTTCACAGTCAATAAGTGTTTTAATTAAGTTTTCAAATATTTTCCTTATTTTTTTTTTTCCAAGTCCCGTTAAGAAGGTCTTTGATTAAACAAAAGTTTATAGCTGGAGAAGATTTTTAAAGATAAAACATCGCAAAGTACGCGAAGTTTTCTTCTTTGCCTTGTATACTAGAAATGAAAGAGAAACTTGTTCGCTTCCTTATAAAATAACGGAAAGGATGACAAAGCAACAATCTGTACGTTCTGCTATTGCTTTACAATTCTTTCAATGAACAATGAAAATGTACTAAGGCGGAAATAACGCATTTTAAGCACATAATATAATTGCAAGCAATTTTGCTCGTCTCTCTCTACTACGTAAAGGAAATGATAAATTCAAATGTTGTAGGAGTGGTATAAAGTGTAAATAGAGAAAGAGGTTTACACGCAGAGAAGATGACCCTTACAAAGGAAGCTAAACTTAGTGGTAGCATATGCAGCAGTAATAAAGCAGAAAGCGATAGAATATTTTATAGCTATTTTTAAATTTTCTTATATTAGCATGCATTGTATTATGTTAAATTATTTTTATCTTCATTTCCTATAAGTATAAAAAGCATGTGAAGGCATTTAAAAAAAAAAAAGTTCTCCTTCCCACATTTATGAATAATAAAAATCTAAGAGAAAAAAAAAAATTCGGATTTACTTGAATCTTTAAGAAGGAATTATCGAAAAAGTATATTTTAACTCTGAGTTTGATTTATATTAAGCAACTCCTAAATGTAGGCTATTTTCATGAAATCTACATAAAAAAGTGAACTCCTAAATGTAGGAAAAGCATAGTCATAACTAATTTGTGAAAGCAAATAAGAAAATAGCCAAACAGATGATATTATACGAAGGCAAACGCACACATACACACAGAGGATTTAAAATGATCAATCAATTCTACAGAAATGCGGTAGACTAGAGAAAGAGAAAGAGCGACACACACATATATAAACGTCGTTTACTCATACAAATTGCCTGGCACGTCCGGAGCGGCTAAAACGGCCTTTTAAATCACCACCACCACCGCCGCCGCCACCACCGCCGGTAAAGCCGCGTAAGGCTCTATATGAAGGCAAAAAGCCTGAGCGATACACGGAACCTATATGACGTTTAGATGGTTGCGCTCTTAAATCGTTGCGTACGTCATTTACCTCATCCTCGGCAAATTCTTCAACGCTGTCTTCTTCTGGTAAAGGTACAGCATTTTCAATGCCAAACAATTCGGGATCCTTTGAAGTGTCTTTTTATACAAACACCAAAATAATTTTTATGTATATTTTGCAATAACTAAACTCGTTACTTTATACTTTTTTATGTATGGATATGTATTTACAAAAATTCTTTTTAAACCTTTTTTTACTTACCCAAAAATCTTTTTTGTGCTCGCCCAAAATCGCCCCAATCTAAGTCGGCATAGGTAGCATAATTCCAATAGTAAGCCGCGGGATCTACGTAATTATATTCAGCTGGTATATAAACTTCATCTTCGTCATCGATGTCGGCGCGTTTCTGCTGAAAGCCGCCACCATGCACTGGCGATGCTTTCAAAGCAGCCAAGCTACGCTTTTCGGCCATATCATAATAACGCTGCGAATTGTAACGAGCCAGAGCGGCTAAATTGCGCTTGGTGGGATAGCGATTACCCAGCATGCCCAGGCGAGCCATGGTAGCTAAATTGCGTTTACCATTCTGGGGCAATTGATAGTCTCTGGCCAAGGTGCCAATGTTACGTTTACCATAGCCCGCCAGACCACCAGAACGAGCCAAGGCACCCACATAACGTTTATCCTCCGTACGCTCTTCCTCATCATCAGGTATTATGTTGGGATCAGTTGTAGGTAACTGCCCGTTTTTAGCCAATGTAGCTAAACTGCGTTTAGCCGCTGCAGCTGCAGCCTTATGATTATGATTCAATAAGCCCTGAGCTGCCAAAGCGGCAACAGACCGCTTATCCTCTTCCCGTCCATAGTCGTCGTTTTCATCTAGAAGATTTTGCTCTTCGCCCTGCTCGAATTGACGCTCTTGCAATATATTCCTTAACTGATTACGTAAAGCTGCAACCTTGAATAGGAAATTTATTAAGCATGATTACGCAAAGTTTATTGTTTGTTGAAATGTGTAATGAGAAATTATTATTTGTATCCAAAGAGCATGTCGATAGATAAATAACTAAATAAATTAATAAATTTGCAACTTACATGCATTCTATATCGTGGGCTGGGATTGATCAATTGATTTATTATTGTTTCCAGCTCACAAGGTGATACATTGGCCACATCATCGATAGCGCCAACTGCGAGAGGCTGCTGCAACTGCATAAATGATAAAAGCATTGTAAAATGGAAATTATTTCAGTGTCTGTCTCTCCCTTAAGCTTAAAAATCTTAGTACAGTAAATACAAAAATAAGAAAACAAAAAAACATTTTACAATAATCCGGTTGCGATTCAGTAAAAACGAAAACAATGAAAAATATAATCTTTAGTAAAAGCAGTTTTTAAAAGCAATAAAACGTAGTTGGAAACAAAAGCAGTGAATAAGAAATGAGTTGCACATCCTTGACACTCCCACGCGTCACAATTTACATTCACATTATTTCTCCGCAACTACAATATCTGTTCTCAGAATTAAGAACTAGAATACCGTGCGCGTAGACTAACGTATGGCGAAGTAGGGTTCGTAGAACTTTTTGATTCAACTTCAATGTTCTTTTCTTTTAGTGCATATGTCAAGGGATTGTATTTTTATACCCATTACGAGAGATATATATCCATTTTATTAATACGTTTGCAACGCCTAGAAGGAAGCTTCAGAGATCCTACAAAGTATATATATTCTTGGTCAACATCAAATTCTGAATGGATCTAAGCATGTCTGTCTGTCCGTCTATTTAATGTCTGTTGTATAGAATCTCTTAGCCGAAAAATGAAGCTATATAGGAAAATTTGACCGTATATTTTATGGGCCATGCTGTGTAATCTGTGCAAAATTGGATAAAATTGGCCATATCTACCCATGTGTATAGTGCATCAAAATTTAATTTTTTCTCAACGCCTTTATAACGCACAGAAGAAAGCTTCCAAAATCCCGTAAAGTATTTGAATTCTTGACCAGTTTCAAGTTTGAAATGCACCTAAGCATGTTCGTTCTTTCTGATGCTCATCTGCCAACCGTGTAGTGTGTGTGGTAAACATTCGCCCAATCGTAAAAATGAACATGTCCCCTACAAAGCAGCAAATGAATTTGAAAAGGTCTCAAACTTTTCAATGACCATGCCCACAACGCCTAAATGTCGATGTAACGAAAACAGCTATCCGTGTTACTTGCTTGTTACTAATAAAAAATGCAACACACGCACCGCACAAATTTTCACCTTTATTTTGAAAATGGAAGAAATCAACCGCGCCCACGTAATGTTACCCTTGCAGTTTCATATTCCTAAAAACCCGTATTTTTTCGATGTCCTTAACATCAGAGAATTCTTAAACTTCTTTTGTTCAAGACGAACAGAGAGCAATGCTTGGGAAGCTTAGTAAAAGAAAACCTTACCACCGGAGAAAGAAGAAAACATTTTGCATGACATTGCTATATATGGCACTTAGAAACATGCTTCGAAACATTGGTTAGGTATCGGGAACTTAGATTAATTTGAAGCGATATTTAGGAGAGGCCGTACTGGATAGTTGGATGGTAACTCTGCATTCACTGCATGCAGTGAAAGAATACCGTTATTTCAGAATGGAGATTATGGAGATATCTAACAGCAACTTGATCGCATATCCTGAAGTCTTCACATAATTAATTCAAATTCAAAACTAGAGCATTCTCTATATATTTTGTATATTTTTATGGATCGAATGAATTTATCAACAATTCCGAGAAAAAGCCCGCAGAGGAAGCGACTGGTGTAGGGCTATGTGAACGAACTACGGGAAAACTAAAAAAGCGTAATGAACGGATGCAAAAACCAATGGTCAAATGCTTCACTACGTCTAAGGCATGCCTTTTATGAAGATGATAACAAGACGACCTAAATTTGGTTTGCAGAAAAGGCGTATGCACGGGAATTGCGATTATTTTTTAAAGATACGTTTGCGTCGTGGTCGTCCCTTACGGCTTTCGGCCGGCTTTTCGAACGGCGAGCACATTCTCCATAAGTCAAATAATATTTAAGGCTCGGTAATCATTATCTGATCCACAGCGGATGTCATTCCAGATAATGCCATTATGCGAGGGTTTGCCAGTAATTGCAGCCCACATAATGGTCCTTTAGCGTTGATTCATAACGAGATCTCCTGTATAGCCTTGCATAGCCCAAAGTTTGCCAACATACCAAGGTGATACGGTACGAGTTATTAATAACGGTCATGACGTCTTACTCGTGCCAATTTGGCGTGGGTGCTACTCAATTGATGAGATTTCCAATGCTGCGAATTTCCTGTACTGCGAATCGAGAAAGCAACCCCAAAGAGATGCCGTTATTGACGACACTCATCAAATGTTAAGTTATAGACGGCTTGGATAGATCGAAAGTTCGCGTAACGAAATTCACATTTTCCCCAAAAAAATCGTCTGTGTGTCATCTTATATAGTATTAGAGGTGGAAATTCTCTTTTCTTGGAGATATAGATACGATTTACATGCAAATAACTGTTATATAAACCTGTTAACTGCGTCTATTTTCAATACTTCAGTTTTTACTGCGGACTTTAAGAAGCTTATGCGCTATAATCAAAAAAACAAATTTTTGAGCTGAGTTAATTAAAAGAGTGTGTTGTCTGCTGCTTTATCGTTTTCCCGCTCTACAACGACAAAATCCTTTAATCTCTTGTAAATAGATTTACGTCGGTCTTGTTTTTTGGTTAAATGATTTTTTCACTTAATCTCATCAGAAAAATGCAAATTTCTTGATGACTGCTTTAAGTGATGTGAATTCCATTCGAATTTAATTTCCTTCATTTCCATCATCGTATGGATTTGTATTTTGTGTCAACATTAATAAATGTCCGGCAATGTTGACAGTGAGTTTTGACATTTTGCTGAGAATTGATGAGCCAGAGATATGAATGAAGCATAATTAATTACCCAATTTCCTTTTGCTTTTCTGATGGAAGACAATTGAAAAAAATGCTTTAAAATGGGAAGCAAAGGATTTTCCGCGATACTGACTTTTAGTGACCTTTAAAGCTATTTTTAAACTTACGTTACAAATTTTTAAATTAATTTTTGAGGCTTTCAAACTAAATCAAGTAAATTCATTAAATCTCTTTAATGTAAAAAACTTTTTTGTTTTTCTATTTCATGCTACGCACATTTAATTTTATGCGCAGACACGCTCGTAGGATTATTATTGAACATTTGAAAGTGCATTTTGTATAAATATAACTGCTTGAAAAAAAAGAGAAAAAAAAAACACGAAAAGATAAAAATGCGAGAGAAGTAAATAAAATTAAAATGTTACACAAATCACTCAAGAATGAAAACTTTGAGAATTCCATGAACATTGGTCGGTTTTAAATTTTTGAAAATTCTTGGAGAAAAACGTCACCGACTGCGCAAGCAGTGTACATCATCTTTTCATTCTGCTCTGATAACCATAAAGAAGAAGCATTCCTTCGCAGAATGCAAGTCATTCGTCTCTTTATTTGCTTTTATGTTTATTTCCATACTCTTCCAATGTCCCAAAATCTGACGCCCAATATCTGATACCTACATTGGCAACTAATTGACAACCAGCGAGTAAGTATATGTGCGTCTGTATGAAAGAGAGAAAGAGAGAGAGAGAGAGAGAGAGAGAGAGAGAAAGAAGGGCAAGAGATTGAGACGAGTCCAAACTATGGGAAAGCCGAACTTCAGATGGACAGATGGACAGACGGACAGACGGACGACTCTTTCGCCTAACTCAAGTCTTTCTGGTTGTCACATACATCCGCACCAACCTAATATATTCCTACAAAGTTATGAACTTTGCGTATCTGCGTCTCGCGATACACGTCGAATTAAGCATTCTGCGTCTCATTTAAAACTTGGATTTCCTAATATAATTTGCTATAATCTCAAGTTCATCGCGTTATATAGCGAAAGGAGCACTGGATATAAATTCAATTAGTTTGCTTAGACATTTTCAAGCAACAGGTGCGTTTTTATCGCTTTATTAGATAAATTTTAAGATGTTTTTAAGGATACTTTTATTTATACTCTTTTTCCTCCTCTCCCTTTTCTTTTTGTTTTATTTTTCACTAAACGTACATTGTCTAGAGCGTACATTTATAAGATATATAAAACAATTTGAGAATTATTTCAATCGTATTTGATTTAAGTGCTACTACAAAGCAAATATTTGAACAAATAAGTACCGCTTACACAGGCTGGGACCTCAAAGAATTCTCAAGTTTTTAGTTTCCAAGAAAAACAGAAGGGTTAGTTTAGTTTAGAGAAAAGCAACTTTTCTCTAAGGATTTTATTTCTTAGTTTTGCTTACTTTGCTCACACCACATGGGCTATATTTATGGCGCATGAAAATATGCTTTGGAAAATTTGGTAAAGCATTAGGAGCGAGTTTACATTAATTTTATGAAATTTTTAGTTGATAGAATTAAATGTCACAAGGCACTATATTTTATTTTATATTTAACCTCCACGCTAGGGTAAAAGTTATATAGACAAAATGTACATAACATACTTCAATAATATTTCCGTCAAACAAAGTCCAAGTTATATTTAAGTGTTCTCACCAGTACAATTTCGTAACTGGCGTTATTTATTTAGATCGTGGCGAAAAAATCAGTCGGCGCGATTGGAATATGTGTGTCGCTAATTTTGCTGACTAACTTTTTCCTCTTGCATTTTTTTTTTTTCTCTTAACCTACTTATTGGTGTTTTTCCAATTGTTTGTATTCCATGTTTGTATTGCATGTTTTCCTTCACATGTGGTACAATGTATATAGAGTTTGTGTGAATGTACGTAACTCGCAGAACGGCTTAAGATAAGCTTGTCTTTTATTATAACGATCGATTCTAAGCCTCTCCGTCTGTCTGTCCATACATCCGATGTCTGCCCAAGTATATTTGTGTTCAAGGTTGCAATTTTAGAAATATTATGGTAAAATTTGCTACCCACACTTGCTTTGAATGCTATTAAAAATGGTTCGGATCGATCCACTTTTTCGACCACTCCGCATATAACGCCTTATTTTGAAAAGTCGTTATAGGGAAAAAAATTGCAGAATAGCTATTAAACAGTATTTCGGTGTTCTAAGTTGCGGTGAAACTTTAACCCGGCTATGACAATTTTTTGAACCCGCTCCCTTATC